ACCAACACAGAGCTGTATCAAAAGGCAGAAACACAGGATTAGTTTTACCAATAGCTGGCAATGAACAAAACATGCCCCAAGTAACTGAGAATTTAACCTGTCTAGCTCTGAAATAGTCAAGTCAGATAAAAGATAAAATTACTTTGAAATATAAAAAATACTTTATAAAATTAAGCATAGGGCCAGTCCTGTAGCACAATGGTTAAACCCTGTGCGTAGGGAGCTGGCTCCTGCATAGCCAAACATAGTTTGAATCCTTCCCTCCCTCTGCTCACAAAAATCAAACCTAAGAAATAAATAGATAAACCTAAGAACATTAATGTTTGGCAAGTACTTCAAAATAAAAAGCATGGATATAATTTTATGTTCAAAGATACTTCTCAGTATGAACAGAAATTCCAATTTCCTTAGTTTATCCATTTAAAAACTGACAAAAACCATCAAGGAAAAAAGAATGATCTGAACACAAATAAGAAGGAATATTTAAAATACACACACACACACACACATAATATAAAATGTCAGAGGGTACGTGCCCTGCCCCAAAAGAAAAAGCACTCCCCTAATTTGCATGTGGTAACACCACAATCCCTTCTCTATTTCTTAATTCTACTGGGACTTGGGGCATACATGCACATGTGCCTGGTGTTTTTTTAAAGCTGTCAATGTTAATGGGACCAGCAGTTAGTGTAATGGCTATGTCGCTGGACTCCCATGTAGTCGACCGCGGTTCGCATCCCGGACCCGGTGGCTTAAACTCATGCCGGGCGCGTGTGCGCCCAAGATCCCGAGAGAATGGAGAAGGGATTGCAGGGTGGCCATCCCCCCTGGGGGGTGATTTCTCACTTTCTATCTCTCTGTGTGTCCGGCAAGCGCACACGCCCTACAGCAAAAACCTCTCCAAAAAAAAAAAAAAGAAAGAAAGAAGAGAAAAGAAAAAAGCTGCCAATACTGGGATTCAAATAATGGTGGGCCAGGTGGGATCTAGCTTTCTTAACCACTCCATTAATTCAAGAGTGACATTACTGTCCTTATTTCAACAAGTTAACAGTACAACAAAGTTGAAATAAGAAAAAAACACAAAAACACTAAATAACCTTTACTGGAAAATGGGACTTTGCTGATACATGGCTACCATACAACCTGAAAGAAATAAGGTAGTATATCTCATTAAAGAAAAGGATGTGTTCCTACAACCTACTTTGCCAGGAGGAACCTACTGAGTGAAGAAATAATCCAGGAGATGGGCAAAGAGTAGCTGGGTGAGACATCCCCTTCATCCAATGCAAGTCAGGTTGCAGGTTTGCTAACCCATTTGGGCATACTTATTTAGACAGATCTGTCTGTAACATGGAGGCCACAAGCACATATATTAAGAATCTGCCTTCCTGATTTCTAGATGAGCAAGTTTCCCCAATAAGAACCAAGCCTACAGTCGAGATAGCATTATTATAGCCTCTTCCTCCCTTGTCTGTCTCTCTCTCTGTCTCTCTGTCTGGTGAGTGCACACGCCCTATAGCAAAAACCTCTCAAAAAAGAAAAAAAAAAGCTCCTATCACCTAACACTGGGCAGTTTCTCAGAAAAATTAGCTGAACTGGGAGATAACAGTCTATTTCTAAAGTGGACAGTTAACATCCCACAAAAGTTTATTTGTCTTATAAACTATGAAATATTTCAAAAGTTCATTAAACACTGATTTAAAGAAAAATTCTGAAAGTCTACAGATCATGGGGGGAAAAGCAGAGTTTGTCTTTATATAGTCAATGTCTTTGATTTAAAATTCAAACGACAGACAGACACACACATACACATACTGACTTAAAACACAAGGACTAGGTACAGTCCAAGTATGAAAAAATATTAATTTCATTAAAAAAAAATTTTAATGAGGTTTTTGTCATAGGACACATGTGCTCGCCAGAGAGACACAGAGACAGTGAGAGGGAAAGTAAGAAATCACCCTCCCAGGGAGGTGGCCTTCTCCTCCTGAGAACATGGGCATGTACGTACATGTGCCCAGCATGATTTTAAAGACACCAGATCTGGGATTCAAACCACAGCAGGCCATGTGGGAGGTCAGTGACATAACCATTATGCTATCTGCTAGTCCTCCAAATCAGTAATTCTAAGTTGCTGTTGGATAAATGGCTCACTTTATGGAAAAAACAGAAATACTTTCTATTTTTCTCATTACAAAAAAAAAAAAAGGGGGGGGGGGGAACTTCAATGATCCTGCCATGAATAATGGGGGAAACATGAAATAATGCAACAGGCATTACTGGTACAAATAATTAGTGACCCAAACTAGCAGTCAACACAAATATCCCATGTACAGGAGGAGATTAACTATAATTTTAATTACTTATAGGCTAGAAATTATTCTCATTTTCTTTGAAATAAACCTTGAAGCTAAGAATAAAGCAGCAAGTGCAAGTAGCAAAATGGGAGTTTAAAATATACAGTAAGCCATTAATGATAATATTAGTTTAATCCATAGGCTAGATTTTTAAACCAAATACAGACAACTACTTCCAATTTGATTGCCAATCATGCTGTTTCCTAGCCTCCATTTCAAACCTATCTGTAAAATAAGGTTAATAACAGCACCAACATCAGAAGATTGTTATTTTGGCAATCACTATCCCTATTTGGAGCTTTCCTGTTAGAAAAAATATCATCAGGGGCCAGAAGGTGGCATAGTGGTTGGGGCAGCTGGACTCCCACATGGCCAATCACAGTTCGAGTCCCGGACCTGATGGCTTGCTTTCTCACTTTCCCTCTCTTTCACTCTATCCCTCTCTAGTCAAATTGAAATAAATAAATAAAGTTAATAATTCTCAAAAAAAAAAAGAGGGAAAAAATCATCAAACTAAAGATTACTTACAATATTTCACAAGCATCTTGAAATTTTTCTAAGACCATTCTTTGGGTTTAGTTTTCCTTACAATTTAAATTTATAAGAACCCATCAGCAATTTAGCTCAGTTCTCTATCCCTGTTAGGTAAAAATTAGAACCATTCTATTTTATCCATCCAAAGTACTTTCTGGCGGAACCCCTAACCTCCCAAATGGAGGAAAGAAGGTTAGGGACTATTTCCAAAGTGGCAAAAAATATGGGGGGAGGAGAAGAAAACATATTATTTGGGGCCAGCAGGTAGGTGGCTCGGAGGTTAAGACATCTAGACACCATATGGCTGAATGCAGTTTGAGTCCCAGACCCAGTAGCTAGAAAATCACACTAGGTATTTGTGTGCATGCCCCAAAATCCTGAGAGGAAAATGGAAGAAAGGGACTGCAGTGTAGCCACCCTGCCCTCAGGGGATAATTTTCTGACTTCTTCTCTCCCTCTGTCTCTGTCTCTCCAGCAAGACCACATTCCCTAGAACAAAACAAACAAGTTTCTTGTATCATCATGTTAGGAGAGTAAGATTCCCTGGTAGAATAACATTAAGCCTTAATGCTTAAAAATATTTTTAAAAACCGAGTTTGCAAAATGAATCAAATACATAATAAGAATTAAAGTTATACACATTTTTAATACAAAATTTTCAAAGACTTGACTTCTAATCTACACATCTTCATCTAAAAAGAAGCTAAATGAACCTAAAGCCCATAACCAAATTGGTAATCATGTAGTTTTCCAAATGCACAAAGATGGAGAGGTAGAGTAGGTTACTACATGACAGCCACATACAAAAGCAATTTAATACTTCAGAGTCAAGTTGCATTTTAAAAGGCAAAGAATGACTTGGTCTCTGAACACTGCACCCAACATACTTAAAACTTTTTTAAACATTCAAAATGAAATAAGGTTACTCCAATCTTTTTTTTTTTTTCAATTTAAATCAAATATCAATATTCCTAGCATTCCTTTAATCAGAGAGTTGTTTCTATGAATTGGAGTTCAAAGTAGAATCCAAATGAAGAAAAGTCCTTGAAATGAGCTTATAATAATTCAGATACCGAATGATCACACGCATAATAAATGAGCATATACAGTTAGCTACTCCAAAATTATAAACTTACGTAACAACACAGGTTGGATTACTACTTTCACATTCATAAGAAAAACACCTTGGAAACAGTTTTACACAGAACATTTTTTTCTCTAAGTGAAAGTCACCAGATGTCACCAAAAAGAGCGGCACTACCCTCAAACGAAAAATCTTTTAAAATGCAAAACACTGTTCTTTCCAAACAACTTGGTCTTTGAACCTTGAGGGCGGTTTCAAAATATGTGAAGCGTTGATACTAGGGCAGATTGGAAATATCTGCCAACTTTTCCCCACCTGTTAACTGAACCTAATTATGAACATACTTTAAGCAATCAAAAAACCTGGAATAAAATGATTCCGAGTCTGCAGGGTATTTATACACGGAAACAACACACAAAACTCTGCATTACTACAAAAAATATATATATACAACCAACAATGATGGACACAATCTTCGCAAGACAAAAGCAGCATTTTTTCCGCGTGTTGCCAACCTGCAACAGGATCAGAAAGATGTAGCGAAAGACGTTGAAACAGAAAAGGTTTTAAAAGGTACAGCACAATGTTCTTCTCAGTGTGAAACAACTAAGAACTTTCTTCGCTCCAAGCAAAGTTTCATGCCTGCTCTACAGATGGGTGAACTAAGGCAGAAGACTGGATTTTTCTCAAGGTCACTCGAGTGCAAAGGTACAGGACAATCCGCGCTCGCGACCCCAGGTCCTCAATCTCTCTACTCAACCGGGGGTCAGAGCTCAAACGTGCTGGCCTCAACCCGTACCCAAACTGCCAACAGGCAAGGGGAGAAAAAGCACATTTCGAGCTCTCTGCATGGACCTCTCGGAGGCCCGGGGGACCTGTGGCCCGCCCTCCCCGGAGGTGGCTGTCGCTCCGCGTTCCTGCTGTCCCCCACGAAGTTCAGGGGTCAAGCGCCACTGTCCCCAAAGCAGGGAGGTGGCCCAAGGCCTTGGACTGGGCAGGATCCCGCCGCGAGGCGCTTTGCTTACCGTCGCTCTCGGCCCTGACAAGCAGGGACATGCCCTTCAGCCGCTCCACGTAGCCGGACGACACATGCCCGGTGCCCCGGTCGTCCCACTGCCGGTCCTCGTTGAGCGTGTAAACCTTCACCCGCCGCCGGGTGTCGGTCATGGTGCCTCCCGGGGGCCGGGGCGGGGACCCCGCCGGAGTCGCCCAGGAAGGGGGTCCAGGAAAGGCGGGGACCGAGACGGGAGGGCGCCCGCAAGCGAAGGGCTCCCGAGCCTCACT